TGTGTGTGTGTGTGTGTGTGTGTGTGTGTGTGTGTATGTGTGATAAATATGAATGCATTTTTAGAAAGATAACATTGATAATACATTGCAAACAAAGAAAAAAAATCATGCCGCTGAGATGAACAGTTGAGATGTTTGCATGTGAAGTAACAGGAAGTGATGTCAAAGGGGACTGTCTCCATGTGAACAAAGCATTAACAGAGAGAACAGAATCTGATGTTTCTTTAGTTTACTTTGAGTCACTATCAGAGAGATGAAGAAGAGTCAGAGTTCAAATAATGTTTCAATAAATAAAGACCATGAGGTTCCCTTTTCTTAAAACATTCCCCTTTGATGTCACTTCCTGTTTCAATTCAGTTATGCCAAATTCAAAAGAAAATATGCTAAATATGTGACAAAATTGGTAAAATTATGTGTTTTTTATCAAGTTTCTTAAGTATAAAAATGTTTTCTTTGACTTTTTGCATGTCAGGAAATTTAACCTACCTGTGAGAGATGCTACTCCCAGATAAAGAGGATGCTCTTTGGGGTCTGGGGATCCGAGAGGGAGGTGGTCTGGTCTGGGTTGACCCATCTTCTGCGTCTCAGTCTTGGTTGATGAATCTGTCTGTGACGGTTTCTCTCTTTGACGGCTGTTTGCACTTGTTACAGAAGTAGGTCCAGGCTGCTCGTCAGCTGTAAAATGTTTTGCTTTTAATTATGTAAAATGATGATGAGAATTCGAGAGCATTTTTTTTTACCTGGAACGACATTTTTCCTCCTGATGATTTTGGGTGAAACCAGTCCAAAGGCGGTGCTGTTTTTACATTTTACCACATGAAGCTGAGGGATCTCAGCACAAACGTTTGTGTTTTCTTTTCTCCTGACATTCTGCCCTTCAATAATAACCAGTTCACACTTTTCTGAAGTGTCCACCACCGCCGTGGAGAGAGATGAACATCTTTTATTGGGCTCTTGTCTGTTTTGTGGTGCAGTAAGAGACCTTACATTTGGGGACATCCCTGTGGATCTGGTTGGGTTTATGCTCACACCAGACATTTCATTTGAGCTAAATGGTAATCCATGGTGTTTGATGGAGCTATCTGAATGTTTTGGACCATTTATTGCGTTTATCCTGGACTCTGGTGATAGTGAATTGTGAAAGTTGCCAGAAGATTTGACAGATTGTGTGTTCCAACATGTCCAATCAGATGAATCATGTAAAGTATTTATAGTCCTGTTTTCCACACATGAAGAGGAGTTCACATATCCCAGCTTCCTTTGTGGAACAATGTTTCTTTCTCCAGACTCCTTACAAATGTCTCCAGCGACAGAAGGAGGAGACTGGGTTTGATTTCCAGTCTCACACCCTGTTTCTTGTATATCACTCCTCGGATCTCCAGTTTCAGTCCCCGGCGGTTCCCGTCTGTCACCACACTGTGACAAATCGCCATCCTCATTCACCACAGCTAACGTGCTCCCTCTGAATCTCTCCGTTTCAAAGGCGACGGGGTTTTTTATCGCAGCCTGGTAGGAGTCTCTGTAACGGCATCTCAGCTCTTGGGCTCTGCCAACTTTTCCACCCTGTCGCCTCGCCATGCACGGCGTGCAGGGCTTCTCGGCAAAGTGGACGATGCGCGCACACTGAGGGGATTCGAGGTAGTCGGGGCGCTGTGTTTGGGAATGCTGATGAAGTCCGGCTCCTTCAGACATGTTGGATCTAGAAACACTTGGTGGTTTTGTTTGTAACTCTACATAAGGTTGTGACTGTGTGCAGGGAGGTGTTTGTGTGACTGGTTGACCTGTTTTATGTGGATATTTTTGTATTTGTGCTTCTGTTTGTAGATACGACTGAGTCAGCACGTTTGGCTGCTCCTGACACAACTGATCTTTACCAAAGAGCATTTTAGCCTGAAGGATATCGATATATTCCCCTGACACAACAGCATTGTCTGTTGGCTCATACTTGCTCATATTGTGTTTGTTTGTTTCTGTTTCTTTGTCCTGCAGAGTACTTTCAGAAACAGTTACACCTTTATTCTCACCTTTGGACTCAGGTAAATTTGATGGGCTGTACTTATCTGGAGCTGTGTTTATTTTCGTCCCAGACAAGCGGCTGTCCCACGTGCTGGGAGACACCCAGCCAATCGGTTTACGCTCCGTTTCAGTGCCTTTAACTCTGACCAGTCGTGATGAAGAAGCAGTTCTGGCATTCACCAGGCAAAGTGACACAGCGATGCCGTGCTTTGCTGGGCATATCCTCGTCTCCACGGAGAAGGCAGAAGGGGGCGAGGAGGATGCTGAAACTGAGTTCTGGACAGCTGCAGGACACTCCTCTGGTTGTGTTTTCTTTGAAGAAGAATGAGGAAAAGAACTACCTGTTGAAGAACTGTCAGGAAAATCAGGGAGAGGTGGAGGAACAGGAAGCGGAGGCGGTAAAGAATGCGCTTGAGGAGCCGAGGCCATGCCACTCTCAGCGCTCCGTGGCACAAAGTCAGGCACGGCCACCCGCTCCCATGGTAACCTCACCAAGCCTTGCTCGGTGGCGACCAGGCACTGTCCGAGAGGCGTGCCTCGACGGTCCTGGTTGAGCTCGTTCAACCAGTCCCGGCTGAACATACAAGGATAGGAGGTCTCGGGGATTGGGGTCTCCTCTGCCACGTGCACACTGAGCCCCTCCTCTTCCAGGAGGCTGCAGACCACAATCCGAGCGGACTGACGACAGAACGGAGCCACCTGGAGATAAAAGTCTCCAGGCCGAAGCAGCGACGGGTCGATCGGAGCGAGGTGGACGACAACTTGGTCATGTAAACAAAGCGGCCAGCCCTCGCAGAGAAAGAGCACATCAGAGTACTGAGCCTGAAAAGAAAAAGATTATGGATCAACTTCCTTTTATCACAGATTATAAATGATCTTAGAGCACAACTGCGGTGTGTGATGACTTACACATGCAGCCTGCTGCACGGTGTCTAAAATGTGTTTGGCTGGAATCAGAAAGTCCAGGAAACACCTCAGGGCATCTCTCTGGTAACGACTGCCAATGATTTGGAAGAGCTGGCTGAGCAGAACCGGGGCGGTGGCCTCGTAGGGCGGGTACAACGCCGACAGGAGGTTCTGGATCGATTCTTCCACAGAATCGAGGTTCTACAAAACAAAAGACAAGAACCAAACATTTACAAATAAATTAGTTCAATGAATAAAATACATGCTGGTAAAAAACAAACAAAATGTTTAAAAATTACATTTTCAGTGTTGCACAGTTATATTTATGCTGTTAAAACAAGCAGGAGAAGGAACAGGTGGATGGATTTAACCACAGTATTTGCAGTTCCAGAGATATGTCTTGATTTGTCTTCCTAATAAGGATAAAACATTAATATTTGGTTGGATCCATTTTTTTGTTATTCTAATGAGGAGTTTTTGATGTAAGAGAAAGTATTTGGGTATAGAGATTTTCCAGCTGGTAAGAAAATAAGCTTTGATAGCTCGCAGGAAAAATAACTAAAATTTAGGGCATTTTTTGCTCAAAATTTTTGTTTTTTGTTGCTACTGCTCAAAAAATGCTCTCAAAATGCTGTAAGGTCATTTTATTTTTGACAAAATGACACGATGAAAAATGTTTTACTCAATGCACTAAAGCTACCATCTCCACACACTTTGGGACTTAATCTTGGTTGTCATAAATATTTCGTTTTGCAATGATTTTGTGTGTTTGTTTATCTGTAAATATTGACTGATCATCACTGACTGACATGAAATTGTCCAAAGACACATTTTCCAATATGTTTCAGCCGTGGCCTAAAAGTATCTTTTTACTAAAACATGAACTAAATTCCTTTCACCTGTACGAGCTGAACAAACAAAGGTATATTATATACTCAATTTTCTGAAAGTAGGCTAAACATTATCTCAGATTTATTTTATTCACTCTGTATCTACTCTAGGTGTATATAAAAATTATTAATTGAAACTCCAACATTGTAATTTTGAACAGTAAGGTTTTTACCTTCTCCTCAAACACATCTTCAAACCAATAACCTGCTGAGAAAAACGCTACACATTCATAACCCGCGTTTCCTACAGAGGCAGCTGACAACAAATATTCCAGTAAACACGATGTGGTGGCCAGTCACGAGGGTTAGCTACACTTCTGGTTTATGGTTTCACATTCCCTTTGACCTGAACTTACACCCCCCAACCCACTTTTAGGCCCTGCTTTATTTAGCCCTGCTAAGACCACCACAGCACACCTCAGATGGTTAATGTATACGCCGTGCAGGCTGAGGCTCGGCAGGGAAATGTGGCTTCAGGGAATGTGAATGACATTATTAAAAATGATGTAAATTTTTACCTGAAAAATGTGAAATTAGATTTTTTTGTGAATGTTTTCTGTGTTATTTATTGTATAAATTAAAGGAGACATAATGAAGTGTAAACTTTAGAAATGCCAGCAGAGGATTCCTTCCTTCCTTCCTTCCTTCCTTCCTTCCTTCCTTCCTTCCTTCCTTCCTTCCTTCCTTCCT